CTTTGTGAAAATCCAGTTATTTAGAGCATGGTGACGGAGGGAGGTGTGCTGCATTATATGAGACAACATTAAGCAATTTATTAAGAATTAAATTTGGTTTTCAAAAAAAATGTGTACATTAACTCGATACTTTTTCTCACGGCAGGTAATCTCAGTCTATTTGTTAAAAATAAAATAAATGCGGTAATGAAAAGAATACACAGCAAGGAAACCTATGCCTTAAAAGAATCATTTATTCTTAATTAGATAATTAAAAAAACACCCAAAATAATTTTTTTACACTAAAAAGTAGTATCAACGAAACATTAGTTTCTTGACGATCGGTTCAATACTATTAGTGAGGTGAAGATGCAAGTCTCCTTGTTGCACAATTTCGAGTTGATTTTTTTTTTTTGTGACAAGATCTGTTCAGCACTGAATTCATATTCGACAAGGTAGGAGGACGGGAAAGCATTTGAAATTGTTTTAACGATAGTCCGCAGTCCAGGGTAGAGGCGACTGATGTTACCTTGAAGCTAAAATTCTGTGAGACGATCACCACTTCAAAGTTTCATTAGTTGAAAGTTCGACTAATTCCTCATAAATCTGAACCTCTGCTGTTTCAATATTCACAAAAGGGTTCATAACACAATAACCTATTGAGGGACTTCCAGGGAACAAAACATCTTTAAAGCGATCGGAACGTGCAAAGAGTCAAGGTGTTGACAATATTCTTATGCATCATCAGAGCGAATTTCTCCTGCTTTGCTGAACTCATTCCAACCGAAATTCTGCTTCCACAAAATGAGTTTTTTCAGAAAGGCAGAAATGACTGATTTTGTAGATATCAAATTGAGCTTGTCGCCTTGAAGTTATAAATTAATGCCATTAAATTTTACAAATAAATCCGCCGAAGTCTTTCTTAAATTCTAGCAATCTATCTCGCAGAGCTACATCTCTGTTTTAGAGGAATTCAAGCACAGAGTCAAAAAGATTCCAAAACCTATTGAGACTGACGTCTTTGGAAAGTCAGAGAATTTCGGTGTGTAGTAGCAAGCGATTGAATTCTTCATCATACACAGCTGTCTAAATAATCAATCGTTGAGAGCATTACTGGGAATTTTGTTCTCAACAAATATGACATATTGCAATAGCTGATGCAAACGGTCACTGAGAGTTTTTCCTACTAAGTGCTGTCTGTGAATCACGTAGTGAACAGCTAAAATATCTGGTATTTCACTTTTCAAAAGGGCGATAAACCCACGATGTCGACCCATCATTGCAGGAGCTCCATCAGTGGCAATCGACATAATATTCACAGGAGAAATGTTTTACTCTGTAAAATAATCTTTGACAGTATTAAAAATAGATTTACCTTTGGTATCTACGATCAAGCTTCTTGCAAAAAGCATCTCTTGAACACTTTCTCCTACCTTTACAAACCGGACCTACGCCTACAATAAAGTCTACATTGCATGGCAAGGTTGATTCATCAACTTGAAGCGAAAATTCGTTGGATATCATAAGTTAGCATAAAAAACTTTAACGTCTTCAGCCATCTCACCATTTCGTTCCCGCACTGTATCGTTGCTGGGATATTTTTTATTACAATGGATGTGGCTGGATGATGTAAAACTGTTTCTAAAACTTCCTTGACAACCGGCAGTATCAACTCAGCACCTATTGTATGAGCTTTCCCAGAATTAGCAATACATTTTGATATATTAAGAGAAGCTATCGAACCATCGTCGCATTTTTGTGATGAGGTTGCTAGCAACCCTGAGACCGAAGGTGCCTTCAGAAACTTGTCTTCGATGTTCGTGAAAAATGACAAATTTTTATTTTGTTTGTCAGGATGAGTTTTTTGCAAATGCTCCTGCTAACGGAAAGATTTCATTATCTCATTAGATAAAACTTTGTTACAAAGTAAACACATGGGCAGTTGAGAGTTCAACAGCGATTGAACAAATCTAGACTTCAAGTACGTGGCACGGTATTGATGACTGATGACACTTCTTTTTGTTAACTAACATTGTTGGTGCCAGCAAAATAGAAACGATGAAAGAAAATCAACTATTTCTCCAAATTAATGAATAATTTATAGTAAAGAATTAATTCGCGCACATACCTGGACAAATAAACAATGAGATCGAATCGAAACTGGGGAAAAAACTGTAAGGAAGGTAACGAAAATAAATATGGGCCAAATCAAGCATTCATACCGAAAGCTCATACACTTGGATTTGCGTCAAATGGCTTGAATGAGTCAGAGCCATTCGCGAAATAGCTTGAATGAATCAGAGGTAAAAACTACTGACTCATGCGCTGCGCTGTGTTGGTTAGGATCGGAGAATAGGTGTCGTATAAGTTCGTTTTATTGGTGGTGCAAAAGGAGTATCAGATAATCTTAATTTATTATATTAATTTAATCTATTTTTTCTTTTATATTATTATTAGATTAATTTTATTTATTAAATAAATTTATTTTAATAATTTTATTTGCAAGTTTCAAAATTAAATTTGAATGACAAAACATGCTCAACGCCCCCCTACCGCCCAAAACAAGTTCACCGCCCCTCGGCATACTCCCAACGCCCCCGTTGAGAAACAGTGGTTTACATCCATCTTTCTTGTTTTCTGACTTGGGAAGGGTTCATTCGATTAACAAAACAATAATGAAGGTAAACAAATTTGTGAAGGGACCGTTTTTATGAAAAGATATTTTGTGAAGGGTCCGTTTTTAAGTTAAAATATTTTGTGAAGGGTCCGTTTTTATGAAAAGATATTTTGTGAAGGGTCCGTTAACGGACCCAAATTTCCTCTAAACAGANAATTATAATTAAAAAAATTTAAATTTTTAAAAAGAAATAGTAATTGCTGCTTCTAAATAAGAGATGCAACATACAAATATCTGGTATTTAGCCTATACTGCTGAACGCAGAATATTAATTTCCGACGAATAATGAAAGAATCGTCTGCCGAAGACAAAACTTAATTCGTTTACATCCATCTTTCTTGTTTTCTGCCCTGGAAAAGGTTTATTCGATTAACAAAATAATAATGAAGATAAGCAAATTTGTGAAGAGTCCGATTAAAAGAAAAATCATTTTGCGAAGGATCCGTTTTTAAGTTCAAATATTTTGTGAAGGGTCCGTTTTTATGAAAAGATATTTTGTGAAGGGTCCGTTAACGGACCCAAATTTCTTTTAAACAGACCCCTGGTTATTAACTAGTAAACGTAAAAAATTATCATTTTTAATATTGAAAAAAAATTTCGTTTGTTACTAACAGGAGTCTATCCAGACATTTTGTAAAAGGTCCTGTTTTTGTAAAATTGTGAAAAAATTACTAGCAATTTGTGAATATAAAATTGGCGTTAAGTCACATTCTTTCAACCAGGGTCCTGTTTTGTGAATTTGTGCAAATAGGGTCCTGTTATTGCAAAAATCCTTTTCAAGGAGTTTTTAAATTGTAACTGGACACAAGATTATGCTCAACACTGTAAAATTATAATTGAAAAAATTAAAATTTCAAAAATAAACAGCCATTGCTGCTACTAAATTAGAGATGCAACATGCAAATATTTGGTACTTAGCCTATACTGCTGAACGCAGAGTATTCATTTCGGACGAATAATGGAAGAATCGTCTGTCGAAGACAAAACTTAATCGTTTACATCCATTTTTCTTGTTTTCTGCCTTGGGAAGGGTTCATTCGATTAACAAAACATGAACGATACAAATATAAAAAGATATTTTGTTAACGAACCCAAATTTCTTCTGAACAGACCCCTAATATCAATGTCTTTATTTTTTGCTTCATTGCTTCACGTATCCTTTAAGAATGCTGCAGTCATGTTTTGCGCTATATAAAATCCTGGTTGGAAGCATATAATCAAGTTAGAACAAGAATATCGTCTATAAATCCAGCATTGCAAACATTCCTTTTTTAAATGATGGATTTAGGATTCTCTACTCAAATTTGGAGGGTGAGAGCAGCAGCAATTTATTTTATAACCGTCGTTGAACAACCGATCAAAATTTGAGTTCAAGACTACTGCTTGTTCAGCTCCGTAACCTTGTAATTTTAATTCATAAGACAAAGAAACTCATGGATCTAGTATTGGGGAAAAACTTGCCTTCGTGGAGAACTTTTTGATGGAACTAACCCACATTTACGTTACATGGAGAGAAAAACCACGAACATTTCCCACGGTTAGCACAACGGCAAGGAGACTCTAACCCATGATCTATCTACCACTGAGGATATTTTACGTCAGAACTGTGGTCGGTGCGTGCCGGAGGCGGAATTCTTATCGACCAGTCATCGCTGGGATTCGGACCCGGTTCACCTCATTGCAAAGCGAGCCCTCTATCACCTGAGCCACCACTGCTCGGTACTAACAATTTGGAAAATATGGTCCCAATAGTTTGACCAGGAGAGCGGTCGAAAATTTGGTCCCCAAACGTTAATTTTACTTTTTGCGTATTTCGCTATGTCTCGAGAACTCTTTTAAGTGAATAATTTTGCGCACAATTATGAAATTTTTTTTTATCCAATGGTTATTCCATGCAAAACATGATTTATAATAATTATTTAATGTTTTTATTATTTTATTTAATGATAACCAAAAAACAATTTTCATAGGGTGATGTAAAAAAATTTAAATAAATGTAATTTAATATAACAAAATTTTAATGAAATCATTTGATAAATTTTTAAAAAAATTGTAATTTCAATTTGAAGTGTAATTTATTATTTTTTTAACTTATAATAGCTGGACACAGATGAGATGAGAAAGCAATTTCTCACATGTCTGATGTAAAATAAAAAGATTAAATTTCTCCTTTTATAATTGTCAACTATTTGATCGTCAATTTCAGTTTTTATTTCATTGTTAGATTTGATTTCTTTATTTTATTTTATTGAATTATATTCGTTATATTTATTTAAAAACATTTCAATTGTCACTTTGTTAATTGAGTATAATTCATTATTTCTTGTGCCAATTTCCTCCATAGGAGGCTGCGTATCCGTACCACTTCCTTGTGAGCACTGGTGCCAGAAACTAGGTGGTCGGTGCGATTCCCTATCGGGTCTTTGCTACTGTGATAACGGAGATGGATACACCACCATTCTCGAACAACACTCACACGTCCCTTGTAAAAATATTCTAAACGGGCCTCATCCCCCTGCCAATCATTCAGCTCCAACACAGGTCAAATATTACCCAGGTAGGTCAAATGCTTCTCTGAATGCCTACGCTGTTTAAAAATTATAGAATGCTCTGAACCATGATAACATTAGATTTTGCTTCAATCTTATTACGATGTCAAATTGAACCATATTAGAGAGATTTTGCATAGAGTTCGTCTTACGTTTATAGTATTGCTAACCTTATTTTCTACCCTTGGCGGCAGGGAAATTTTCGCGCATTCGCTGTGAAGCTCAAATAGCCTCAGAAGCGTAACACTTTGAAAAATCTCTTTCTTTTCGTACACACTAAATTAAATTTACATGATTTAAAATCACACATCGCGATTCCTATTTACGGGTTTTAAAATCACGCTTCGTATTTCGCATTTTCACGATCTTATATCAAGTATCACGTTTAATATTCATGCGATTTAAAAGCCACTTTCATATTTCGTGTTCAAATGACTTAAAAATTATGCATCGTAATTCAAATTAACGTGATCTTAAAATGAGACATCGAGATTCGTATCCGCAATATATCAAAATGAAATATCGAGAATTGTATTCACACGACTTTAAAATCAAACATCTAGTTTCGTATTAACACGGTCTTGAAATTAAACATCAAGATTCGTGTTTACGTAATATAAAAATTAAATGTAGAAATTCGTATTCGCGTGGTTTATAATCCACGCATTGAGATTCATATTCACGCAATTTAAAATAAATAAGTAAAATCTTGCATCGATATTTTATTAAAACGTTGATAACATTTTGTAGATAAATGGTTCTTACACACACTTTTTTTTCAATTATTTACAAAGTGTTTTTGCACACAATATTTTTGGATTTCTATTTTCTGCCTTTTTTTCCGAACTCAACTATGTGATCTGAATCAATATCAATCAATATTTTTATATCTATTAATATAAAAAAAAATTTTAAAACGATCCGCGATTTTCAAACAAATTTCGCCAAAATGAGGTGACGGCTAAAGGGTTAAAACCAGTTACAGGAGTTAATGCGTTCAGAAAGTTTTGTAATTGAGATTTTGTGTTCGTAGAAAATTTTTCATTTTATCTAAGTCTGCGGGAGGTTTTGAACTAAGACCTACTTTCACCCTTGCGGTGCTCTCTTCTCAAACTAGAAGCGTACCTTCCTGTATTAAGTCACAAAAGCCCATGGATTGCTTGCTTGGCTAGTCTAAATCTCATAAGAAACAACATGTAAGATGTGATTATGCATTATTGTTACAAAATCAGTCGTAAACAGGGCTTGATTCAAGTTTTATTTTTAAGGACCTATTTTTTGTGAAAAATGGAAGTATTTTTGTGAAAATTACTTAATTGTGACTTTACGTGGAGTAGTTTATAAATTTAGTAACTGATTCTTCATTATTTCTAGAATATGTATTAAGATAAATAATTTATTTATGAATTGAAATGTTTATTGGTGTCTTTTATTTTAGATGACAGCCAAGTCAGTTTCTGGATGTACGCCATGATATCTATAGGGACGGCTTTTGTCATTTTTGTAGCCATTACTGTGTATATGATGTGGTTAGAAAAGATTTACTTTTTTAATATTTAAAAAATGTCTGTGTTTTTTTTTTTTTTTTTTAGATAAAACGCTGTTTTTGGTTTGTAAAAAATCTTTTTTATACCTATTGTTTATTAACATAACAATACTGGAAAAAAGGGCCCCATAAAAAGTTAAATCATTGTATTGATTTAATATAAAAAAATTAAACACACTTCAATTGATTACAACGTGCTGTTATTGTCTTGATAATAGATGAAAAATATTTAACTATTCTCTAATGAAAATATGATGTAAATATTTTCGTTTAAGCATTTTAAGCGCTTACTACAGTGGTTTTTTTTTTTCTTCAAAAACTACCCTTACTTTATTTCTCACCTTCTATAAAGCTTGAATAATTTTACAATTTATCTGTAAAGAACAATACTTTCTTGACCTACCTGCACGAAATGCTAAAACACAACAAAAAAAAAATATTTTTTCTTGGAAGCTACTAATCTTCCGGCCTTATCTTAATGTTTCCCATAAGATCACTAAAATATAAGCAGAAATAGGATTTCTTAACCCCTCTAAACAGTGATCTATGGCCCTGATATCAACAAAACTGAAAGTTTTATTTAAACTTCCATTTCTTATTGCGCGATATAGCTTAAAAGTTTTCGCCGTTGTTTAAGAGGATTCTGCGTGAAAAGGATTTTATTAATCTATGTTGTATTTTGTATTTACTTGTGCCACTTTTTTTCCTTCTTCTTCTGATGCTATTTTTGTAAAATAGTTTATGCTTTAAAAAACATGGCAAATTAGTTTTTTTTATTTTTTATTTAAAGACTGAGATAAAAAGATATTAAAAAATTTTGTTGCGAAATAAACTCCGGCAAATTGATCCAACTTCACTTATAGGAGTAGTTGTAAACTATATTAATGACGGAAAGAGTTTGTGGGTGTGTGCGTGTGTTAATTATAACTCTAGAAGCATTTTCCTGAAATTTCGACGGTGGATGCAAGGAGCTATTTTAGCCCCTGAACTTAAAAATAATTCAAAAACTTTACCTACAGGGGACTGTTTAGAAGAAATTTGGTTCCGTTAACGGACCCTTCACAAAATATCTTTTCATAAAGACGGACCCTTCAAAAAATATTTTAACTTAAAAACGGACCCTTCACAAAATGATTTTTCTTTTAATCGGACCCTTCACAAATTTGTTTATCTTCATTATTGTTTTGTTAATCGAATAAACCCTTCCCAGGGCAGAAAACAAGGAAGATGGGTGTAAACGAATTAAGTTTTGTATTCGGCAGACGATTCTTCCATTATTCGTCCGAAATGAATATTCTGCGTTCAGCAGTATAGGCTAAATGCCAAATATTTGTATGTTGCATCTCTAATTTAGAAGCAGCAATTGCTGCTTATTTTTGAAAATTTAATTTTTTTTTTTATTATAATTTTACAGTGCCGAGCGTAATCTTGTATCTATTTACAATTTAAAAAGTCCTTGAAAAAGTTTTTTGCAATAACCGGACCCTATTTGCACAAATTCATAAAAGCGGAGCCTAGTTGAAAAAATCTGAGTAATTTTTTCACAATTTCACGAAAACCCGACCTTTCACAAAATGTCTGGACAGACCCCTGACTTACACCGTTTGGGAGAGATTTATGAAAAAAGAATTTTTCTCGTTGGTTTAACATTAGCCATTATTGAATTAAACTGTCGACAATTCTGTTTTTCGAAATATTTAAAAGATAATATCAGTGTTGTTGTCTAGCTTACAGTTCTATTTAATCAATAAGGAATTTTTCTAAGTCCATTTTTCTTTCATTATGTCACGTCTGCTCAATAATCAACATGGCATACAAAGTCTATGTCACCGGATTAGTATTTCTAAAGTTATCTGAAACCACGTGCTTACTTCATTCATAATAACATTTTCAGCGAACCCCTGCGTTTGTTTAGAATTGTATGGCTTTTGTATACCTTTTTATGGCCTTTTGCTAACTTAGCCTTTTGCATGAAAAAAAACGAGCTCAAAAAAACTTTTCCTTTTCATCGGTGAAGAACCTTTACTTTCCGAAAACGCCTCGTAATAACAATTAATAGTTCTGACAACTATTCGATTAATCTTTAATTACGATTTCGTAGTCAAGATAACGGTTTTAGTGTTGAGTAATAAAAATTACGTTTTCTTTTTAAGACTTTTCCTAATCTGGTTTATTGCTTCCAGGATTTCATACAGCAAGGCTGCATCGATAAGTGTTCTCGATTTGGTGAGAAAAAATCTAAATGGTTTTTGCCTCCGTCGAAGAACTGAAACTTAAACTTCCCTCTTTATAGAAAAGCAAAAGAACAAAATCTGAATTGTCGTATCCAAAAATTTTAGTGAAAAAGCTAAAAGTGGTAGTGCTTTTAGCTAAAAAGTCAAAAAGGGCTAGTTCTGATTTAATCAAAAATTAGAACATTGATTCCTAGTCATTGATTTAACTTTATCATTTTATAGTGAATTATAAAATGTCAAATGTCAACCATATTTTAATATGGTACTCAGGGGTCTGTTTAAAAGAAATTTGGGTCCGTTAACAAAATATCTTTCCATTAAAACGGACCCTTCACAAATTAATTTATCTTTTAATCGGACCCTCCACAAATTTGTTTATCTTCATTATTGTTTTGTTAATCGAATAAACCCTTCCCAGGAAGGGGGGGGGAGAGAAAGACAGATGTAAACGAACTAAATTTTGTCTTCGGCAGAAGCTTTTTCCTTTATTCGTCCGAAATGAATATTCTGCTTTCAGCAGTATAGGCTACATCGCTAATTTAGTAGCTGCAATTGCTGTTTATTTTTTAAAATTTAATTTTTTTTTAATGTATATATACAGTGTTGAGCATAATCTTGCATATCTATTCAATTTAAAAACTCCTTGAATAAGTTTTTTTGCAATAACGGACCCTATTTGCACAAATTCACAAAAGCGGACCCTGGTTGAAAGAATGTGACAGAACGTTTATTTTATATTCACAAATTACGAGTAATTTTTTCACAATTTTACAAAAACGGACCTTTCACAAAATGTTTGGACAGACCCCTGGTACTTTTACCTAAATTTTACTTTTTTATTTAATGGTAAATTCATGTAAAATTTTATTAATACCGAAATAGAATTAAGAAGTGCATACACTTGCGCAAATTTAAAATTTCATTATGTCTATCTATATACTTCTGATATTGTACTTATGGTTATTGATAGCTGATTTGGAAAGTTGGAACCTCTGATAAAACGAGGCACACAACTTACGCAAAATATTGTTTCGAGCAATTTATAAATGTTAAATCAAACATGAAATTACATATAACTTATTATTTTTTTTTTTTTTAGCCGTTCCAGTCTGCGCCAAAGACCCACCAGTGTTGAAAGGCAACCTAGTGTACGAAGGCGTACAAATTTAGCACCACCAGAAACAAACAATTGTCCCAATGCCAACAGCATAGTTCATAACAGAGATTATGAATGAAACAATAAAACACTGATAGCTCTATCATATCAGATAAGGCATATCATATGTAATCAACTGGATTATTTTGTGTTGAAATGAGATAAAACTTAATCAATCACTAAGAAACATTTTCTCAACTCTTTCGATGTGTCAAGGCCGAGTGAAAAAAAAAACATTTTTTTCGCAGATGCTTGAATGTGTTTCTTAAAGAATAAGACTGACACAAGAAACATTCGTCTGAATGAAGTTTCAGAAGTCGACAAAGATTAAAAACGTGGCAAAATTATGAAGAAGAAAAAAAAGCAACTATCAGAACTGTGATAGATAGTTGTTGTCTACGTTAAATAATTACTTGTTTACCATCTCTCTAAAAAAAGATATCTAATAATGTTGATCTTTCTTTATTTTTTAATTTTATTTGTTTGTTTGAATTCATTTTTTATTTTATAGCTACAACTCTTACGATATCATTTTTTGCTCAGTTTTTCTTCTTTTAACTAGTTACCGGTCTTCTATTAACGAACAAAAACGCCCGGTGATTTGAAAAATAAATTATTAAGAAACAAGAGAGTTAACTGTATTAAAAACAAATTATCAAAATATAACTTATCATTTCCCATGTGAAGTCTACAATTTTTTTTAATAAAACCACAATTTAGTGCTGCCCTCTACCGAGAAAAAAATTATGCAGAAATTTACTTTTGGCTTCGTTCTGCTTAGGAAACTAGTTTTCAGTCTTACCAATTATAAAAATTGCTTACAAAGTTCCACAAGAGGTAGCGCAGTTGTATATCTGTGATGTTAAATGATTACCATTTGCTACAAACAATATTACTTAGACTGAGGACAAAGCTAACAGGCTCCTGAACAAATATTTCAGTTCGGATTGTCTGAAATGCAGCAAAAAAATTAGTTTAACCGCTTCGCTAACCAATTTTTTTGAGAAAAAAAATGCAAGAAATCAACATATTTTTTTTTATTTCATTAATGAATTCAAAGAACTAAAACAAAACATAATACACAAGTTCTAAGTTGAATTTTTTTTTTCACCTGTAAAATAATATTTAATTTACCATCAGTTTTCTATCCTACATTATCTCGGGCAAATGAAAAAAGTTAAATATTAGTCTTTGTATATGCTCACATCTTCATAATCTGAAAAATCATCTGCATTACTTTCCCTTTCGCTCGTGAACGCCNTTTTTTTTTTTTTTTTGTAAATTTATCAACCATCGTATATACAATTGTACAAAACACGTTTGCAGTGCCAGAAATAGCAAAACTCCGAAACAAAAATTGGCAAACTACCAATCACGGCAGATTATTATTATTATAAAACGTGATGAAACAAAACGTATTGACGAATTCTGCTATGCCCGAGTTTACTCGGGATAATAAATATTTGCAATATATACATACACGAGTTAACTCGGGATAATCAGGGAAGCGGTTAACAGTTTATTTTTCTCAGTCACAACTGTTGACACTCACAATTCAGTCATTCTGTTGAAGAAGAAAAATTTAGTTCTTTAAGCAAAACGCAGCTGACCTTACATCTTCAAATCACCGGGTTTTTTCGCGTTTATTCGATTTTTTATACCAAAATTAATACAAAAAAAAGTACTAAATTGAATTTTTGTATTGTAATAAAGATATCCTCGATCTATAGAGGTATAAAAAATAATTGTTACCTAACTTGGTATTCCTCAAATTAAATGGTGAATTATATCTGGTGGGAAATTAAATCGCCTCCTCATAACCAGTGATTAAACCTCTAATCTGTTAAACTAAAAGCGATTCTTGTTATGAATTACATTTCATTAAAACGAATTATTAAGGTTTTCCATTCAAATTTAAAAAGTTAATGTTGAAATATAGATTTATTTCGAAAGGAAACTTCTTATCTTTAGTTTGAAATAAAATACATGAAAAATTCTTTCTTTTTCTTATAATTCCTTCTCAACTATTCTAAATGTTTAATTGTATTTAATTAAGATTTTTATGCTATAAAAAAAGCTTTTATAATGATCATGTGTTTTAATTTAAAATTATTTTCTTTTGATTTAAGCTTCATTTTAAGGATATCATTATTTTTAGTTGAATTTATATCAAAATAATATAAACATATTAAGTTGTATATTAGTTTGCTCATCTAGTCTGTTTTTCTATCGTTTCTTTTTTACAATTCCCAAGTAAATAAACGTCTTAAATGATAGCTTTATTTTGTGTAAAGTATATTCATTGTAATTATATCATTTATTATTTTTCAAAAATATCCCATTTGTCTGTATATTCATTCATTGTAATGATAATATAGTTAAGAGCTAGAAAAAAAAAGAGTAGTAGATTAAATGTCATAAAAAAAACATTTATTTCAATTTTGCTGAATAATTTAATTAAATCAGCAAACTTACTTTTTAACTTTACTATTAATACTATTTTTGTGTGCTCATCTATTCTTTACATTTGAGAGAAAAAAATCACACATTGTTATTAATTAAAAAATAAAAATATCAATTGCGAATACTTATTAATTTAGTTACCTGTATTCTTTATTATTGTTATTTTCAATTTCATTATCTTCAATCTAAGTTGTTGCATTGTACAAATCTATTATAATCTTGTTTTTATTTTATTTTACTTTTTTTTCCTGTCTAACAGAACACATTTGTTTGAATTTTCATGAACATTCCTTGTGAATTATTTTGGTTAATCAAGCATTCTTTCACTTTTATTGTTTGAAGTAAAATAGCGCATTTATTTTGTTACTTTTTCATGAACATTGGTTGTAATTTATTTTGTTTAAATAATTTTATTTTTTTTTTTACTTACGAAGCACTTTCCTTAGATTTTTCATTAAAGTGAGAGTATATATCTCAATTCTATACATATATTTAATTGCAATATCAATGTTTTCTATCAAGTCAATACAATATTATAGTATTCAATACAATAATCTGTATTGTTGCATATCATTGTGCAGATATTTGTTTATTGTTTGATTTTTAATGCCTTCTTTTTTATTTTAATTTTGTGTAAGATTTTATTAGTTATTTTTTCACTCTCGAAAAGTGGAGGCAATATTACTGTCACTTTTATATTTTATTAATTTTTCAATGTATCGATTGAATTTCTTTTTGTCTTATATTGATTGAATTAAAAAATATTGTTGCGCGTAAAAGTACATTGCTACATGTAATTTTTCTTTTTACTCATTCTCGTAAAAAAAAAAAGTTTCAGAAAAACTTGAGAAATTATATTATTCTATTTCTGTAATGTATCCATTTTTCATTTTCTATATCTTGGAACTCCTAAAAATTTATTGTTTGTAATAAATGTTATTGTACATGCAATATTCCATGTTTCTTCTTTACGTGTGTTTGCATATTGTACGTGATTTTTCATTCCACTTTCATATTTATGTAGGTAATTAAGTCCAGCTATTAAGTTATTTTGTTATTAATAAAATTCGAAATTTTTAAAATTTCAATTTATTGCGTATAACGTTTTGAAGCATATCCTCCAACTACTACAGAAATTCTGTAGTTTCAGAAAATATTTTTCCTAATCGTAATTTGTAATAAATTAGAGTCAATGGAATATGGCCACTTCTTCTAGTTAAAGATTTAAACAGACGTAATAAAAGTCAAATAAAAAGAACGGTCGTGTTCATCATATAAAAATTTTATTTGTTTTGAAATTTTCACTCCCGCTGGGAGAATGTTTCACAAATATCTCAAATGTTTGCTGGTATTTTAGTTACTCCAGGTTCAAATCTTGGTGATGATTGGTATTTAACAGTATTTTCAGTATTTAACTAGTACTGACACATTGTAGACTCAAAAGTAAGTGTATCAATATCTAATTGATGCATTTTGTGATTTTCCTCTGCCTTTAACGTAATTGCATTTACCCCACAGAAAGACTCCGAGAAAACATGTTTATTTAAAATATGAACCCAAAATTTGTCTGTTCTCTTGAGTTTGCTTAAAACTACAATTAATTAGACATTAAAAGCTGTTCATGCGTTGTGTAAATGGGTTGTTCAATTACAGTATAAGAAAATAAGTTACCTTTACTATATTAGATAGAAGTTAGATATTATTAAAAGTTATTAGGTAAAGTATTTCAATAAATGCTCAAAGTTGACACGGCGAAAGGTAATTTTTAAACTTAGGATAGCAAAGAATATAGCCTTTAAAAATAAAATGAGTCTAATAAATTAAGAATATTGAGCAGTTGTTGATTGATTTATATTTTAGAATTGTGAAAAAAAATCAATGCGTTAATTTTTCTAAATATATATTTGTATGATCTTATGTATCTGTTATGGAAATTTTTTCAATGATTTCAGATTTGGGACTCTCAAAATATGGAGAGTAAATAGCTTCAATCTGAATACCGATTTTTCAAGTAATATAGTCAAAAGATAAGATCTTTTGAAAATATTTGGTTTCGCCTCTTAATGTTAATTTTATTTTTTGCGTTTTCTGCCATATGACGAACTATATTTAGGAGAATCAAAGCAATTTTGCGTAGAAATATGAAACTCGCTTTTTCTGAAAAATTAATTAAATAAAACTTAATAAGTGCATATTTAATTTATTAATTATTGAAACATCTTTAAATACTTATATTAGCTTTTATATAATTCTGAGCAATGTAATTTTATTTGACAATATCCAAAATTTAAACTGAATCGGTTAAATAGTTTCCAAATGATAAAATTTCATAAAAGTTGCATATGAGAACTTTCGTTTTTGTAGAATTACTAGACCGATTTTACTCAAATCTTAATATATCACACACATATCAATCGTCTTTACATTATCTTATTTGTCCTTCAACTTACTTTTACACCAATAATACTGCCTGCTACTTGAAAATAGTATAAATACTTGTATTTAGAAATTTTTGATGTTAATCCTCATTCATATATTCTACTGGGAAGTATTCTTTGGAATGATCCGAAGACATGCAGCCACAATTTAAATCCTCTGCAGAGGAAAGGCTCTGGTAGCCGGACGATATGCGCGTGAAGTTCAACACTTTTCCGTAGAACATTTTAACGATCACCGATACCACGTACCCTCTACCCCATCCCAGTCTGATCAAAGTGGTCACCCACCCACTCACTGACAGCTACCAGTTATGCTTGACTTCGGTGCTCTACTGAAAACCAATTCCTTACGATCAGTCTACTGGGGATTAATCTATTTCGATATCGCTCTTCAAATAGTTCGGGAAGAGTTCTAGATCAGTGGTTACAACTGGCGGCCAGCGAACTAAAATATATTGTCTTTTTTTGCTGACAATTTTCGTAAAAACTGAATGGGTTTAAAATACTTTTCATTTGTTAGAAAAAAAACCTAATTTCTTCGTTTCTGGGAAATTTAACATACCAACTGTGCAAAAAAAATTATTTCTCAGGTTTTGCATCCAAGAAAATATTTATTGAAATACAAAAATAATCCTGTATATTGCTCTTTTTTAATTCGTTTTTTTTTTGTGAAAATATAATTTAATTGTGCGTATCAGAGATTTTCTCGAAGAAATTCTCCAATTTAACTTTTTGAAACCACTCATTTTGGGCGAAATTATTTACATTTGTAAATTTTGCGGTCAGAATTTTTTAATATACAATAAAATATTTTTAACAATCTTCCTTTTTTAATTTGTAATTCAATACTTTTGTTTTGTACAACTTGATAAAAATCTGGCAGTAACATTAATGTACTTTCAAACAGTTGCCCGCCGTTTGACTAGTGTTTTTAATTGCGGCCCCCGGCCTCATGTGAGTTGGAAACCCCAGTTCTAGATGGGTTCAAAGGAAATGATGTCAAATATTTTTAATCGGAAAATATTTGTTATCGGAAAACATCTTGTCAACCAGAATCACCTTTGAATTTTAGCAATTTGTATAAAACATGTTCATTTTTCTCGTGTA